ACAGCTGCCGGCGTTGGTAGAAACTTCACTTGACAGTGAGACCGTCTCGGAGCGTCTGTGTGCCGTGAGATGCAGTGCACCTCCGTTTTGCCGGCTGCCGAGCCGTGGTCCTGTCATCTGGCCCCCTTAGGGCTAGGGACCGAACCAGAAACGCCAGACAAAGTAACGTAAAGGAAACAGTTTACAACTGAAGAGCGCAACATACATGTCAGTGCACGTGTCAACTAGAGCGTGCCGTATGCGTGTTAATTGTGTTGTTTGGTTGTGCTTGTTATGTGTGGCCAGAGCAGCCTGGTGGGGCCAGAACTCACGTGCTGACCCTGAGCCGGCTGGGGGCGGGTTCAGTGGCCTGTCTTCCCCCTGGTGCTCTGGGTTGTTTGGTTGGTTGTTTTTTTTTGTCAGTTGTGGGTCTTGAACTCAGGGCCTGGGCGCTGCCCCTCAGCTCTCCAGCTCAAGGCGAGTAATCTACCACTTGAGCCACAGTGCCACTTCCAGTTTTCTAGTAGTTTATTGGAGATAAGAATCTTTTGGGGACTTTCCTGCCCTGGCTGGCTTTGAACCGTGATCCTCAGATCTCAGCTTCCTGAGCAGCTAGGATGACCGGTACACTGCTGCTCTGGGTTTTAAGATCTGCCACTGGCTTCCTGAACATCACCGAGCATGAATATCCGTCAGGAGCCAGGACCTCTTGCAGAGTGGGAAGCTTGGGGTCAAAGAGCGCAGGAAATCACGGAGTTGGTCTGCGTGGCTTGAGTTACATCACAGTGGAAGACTGGCCAGGAAGAACCTGCACTGGAAAGTTCCAGATCCTTAAGAAACTATGCAGGTAAACCCAGCTTAATCAAAACATCTTAATTCAAGGCAGTAAATAAAGAAGGATGTATTCAGTCTGAACAGAAAAAGATTTGTTCCCTAAAGTCCGTTTTGCGTAATGATTAATAGGTTCTTTCATTTCACATCCATTTCAAGTCTAGCATTAGAGTCAGGCTTTGTTCACATTTTGCTGTGCTGGTATCGTGTATGAACATATTCTCATTTTTTTGAGATGTTAATATGATAAGTTCCATTCTGAAAACTTTTTTTAAAAATTTTTTTTTTGGGTCCGGTCATGGGGCCTGAACTCTGGGCCTGGGCGCTGTCCCTCAGCTCTTCAGCTCAAGGCTAGCACTCTACCACTTGAGCCACAGCGCCACTTCCGGCTTTTTTCTTTTTGCTTATGTGGTGCTGAGGAATTGAACCCAGGGCCTCATGCATGCAAGGCAAGCGCTCTACCACTGAGCCACCTTCCCAGCTCCTGAAAACATTTTTTTGATGGGGTTGAGGGTGTAGCCTGAGTGGTTGAGCACTTACTTAGCAAGCATGAGGTCCTGGGTTCAATCCCCACCACCACAAAGAAGAAAGCATTTTTTTTTTGTGGGCTCCACGCACAATCTGATGCCTGTATTTCTGTGAAGAGAACTAACTCTGCCCATTGCCTACTTGCAGCACACGCCGCCCAAATGTGCCCGTTTGAGAGTTTAGGCGGCGAGTTGAAGGAACGTGCCCACACTGGACCGAGGGTCACACAGGCAGGGTGCCGCTTATGAATGCAGGCCTGGTCATGGCTAAAATGCTCCCAGTACTTCTGAGACCCGCGACCCACTCTCCTGAAAACTCAGTGCCTGTGTAGGGAGCACCTTCCGTGTCTTTCCCATAGCAGGAGAGTTTCTGCAGAAGTCCAAATGCGCTGCTCAGGGGCCTGGCTGAGGCTGGGGCTCAGGGATCAGGAACGGCAGAAGCGTCTCCATGAATCCCTACGGCAGGACAGCCTTTTCCACAGGCCTGCTCCCATACACAAGAATTCAAGCTTCAGCACTGAAGCACACTTGGTCAAAGTTAACAAACTCCTGCTGGAGATATTACAGAACTGAGAAATGCAAAGTGCCAGATGGTTGTGTGAACACAGAGACTTCACTGAGTTCAACTCAGGCAGAGTTACAGTTCCTCTTCTGTGACAGCATTTTAAAAAGCAACAAATAAGTTCTTTGGAAGGAATTCCCCCCCCTCCCCCTTTTCTTAAGATGTCAAGTCTTGTGAGCAACAGGTTTAACTGCCAAGCGTCTGCACAGAGCAGGGCGTGGGGTGTTCAGCCTAGAGTTACGTGCCCTGTTGGGAAGAGAATGGAAACCTGCCACAGGAAGACCAGCCTCCAGCCGGGGACCATGTGGGAAACCAAGGCAGAGTGTGGCCATAGCAAACACCCCACAGCTACCAGGACCACGCAGCACCCTCTCCGTTCCCCGAGAACCGGAGCCCAGGGCTCAGGAAGCCACGGAGAGACGCAGAGGTGGAAGTCAGGAGTCCTGAGTGGTAAACTCGGGGGTCATTGCACGATGGCTTGTGGCTCAAAGGAGACTCAGTGCTCATTATAAATCTAAACAAATCCAGTCGGGCTCCAGGCTCGAGACAGGCTGCGACGGAACCCTGAGTTTTGTATACACACACATACACGCACATGTGCACACAGACAGGTGTTACGGCCCCTCTGGAGATGCACAGAGGTATCCGTAGACAAGGTTTTGAGGATTTCACTTTGCTTACTGAAGTTTCCCAAGCTAATTTCAAGAGGACTCAAGAACGAATCTGTAGAATAGAAAACAGCTCTCTGTATTCTTCTGGAACGGGCTATCTCGTCAAATAGGAGGGGCAGCCGAGGCAGCGGCAAAGCCAGGCACCAGTTGCTGATAATGTCCGTTGGCCGGGCCGCTGTGGGAAAGAGACCGGCAGGGGCTTGGACTAGAAGTGGAAACTCGGGAGGCGGAGTGGGAGGAGGGGACAGGGCCGGTGACTCCCAGGCCTCTGTCCCGAGCGGAGGGTGGGAGGGATGGCTGAGGTAGTGAAGAACGGAGGCAGAGCCTCGTGGGGCCAGGGAGAGGCTGGGGCTCGGGTCTGGACATGGGCTGTGCGCTGATGGCTGCAGAGTCTTGAAAGAAGCTTCTGCAAGACGAGCCTGGGAAGGGGTCCAGGCTGGGCTCCGGCTGTGGGAGTCAGTGGCACTCGGGTGCTGTCCAAGAGCCTGGGCGGGTGAGATCACCCGCGTGGGCCCCAGAGAGCGGCGTGACCAGGTCTGAGACCTGCCGGGCCTGGCGGGGACCTGGAAGAGCCGGCACAGCTGACCAGTGAGCCCGAGGAGCAGCCCCAGCGGCCCATTCATGAGGGGAAGAGAGGGAAAGAGAGAGAGCCCTGCTTTATGATCACAAACCACACATGTCTGGCCAGCAACTCTCAGCCACAAGCCCTGCGTGGCCCAGAAAATGCATTTTCTAATGCCGGAAAAGAAATCTACTGAATGCACGCCTTCCCGGTGGAGGGAAGGGCAGAAAGCTCACTCCCAAAGAAGAGAGCACTTAACCACCTCTACCCCACGGGCACAGGAAGCGCGGTGTAGACACGGGGGATTCAAAGTCCCCCGGGGAGTGAGGCCTCTGCCTGCCCTGTCCTTCTCAGGCCTGGTGACCAGGGCGCGGGAGCTGGCCGCCACATAACGATGTCCATCCAGGAGACAGTGCAGTAAATCCCACCTGGGTGTTTGTAGTTCTGCCAGGTTCCGAAAGCCTAGGAACAAGGACTTTCCAATGCTACGTAAGACAGACTGCTGAACTGCTGTGCTGTGGAAGTGCCTCGTGTCAGCAGATTTGTTTGTGGCAGTCGCGGTCGTGAGTGCTAAGGTGAAAGGCGTCTCTGGGACTGATACAGTAAGCAAGCCGGTGTGAGAGCCCCTCCTCACACAGGAGTTGGTGTGCGTGAACGAACGCTTCTTCCCGGTGTGAGAGCCCCTCCTCGCACAGGAGTTGGTGTGCGTGAACGAACGCTTCTTCCAGATCACTGTCAAAAACAGGAGCAGGCACAAACGCCTGCTTCACTCGCACCACGCTCAGAAGCCCGGAGGCCTGCACAGAGCTGGCCATCTCTCACGCTCTTTCGCTTTTCTTTCTCCAAAATACATTTCGGTTCTTCTTCAGCAGTTTCGGTTCAGGTTTCAGAAGTTTAAACATGAACATTTTCAGGGCGCCATTCCCAGTTCAGTTGAGACACCCTTTTCATGGCTGTCTGACATCGCAAACCGAGGAATGAGTGACCGAGCCGCTGGGTAAGCACTGTGAGTCCGGATTTCAGAGCGGCGGCGGCTTCTCTTTGCTCCAGTTCCTATCGAGCGGCCCCTTGAGGAGCCTCTGTTCTCATACGTCCTTTGCCCCTTATGCCGCTGACCTGTCCAAACTAGAGGTGCCTCTAGGTCATCTAGTGTCTGTGTCTTTCATGTTTGTATCTTCATTACCAGACGATTCCTTTCCACACGCGGCCTACGCTAAGAAGTTCTCTGGCATGCACAGAGAGAAGAGCAGCTTCTCCGCCTAGTGGTGGGGTGGACGCTCTAGGAACTGCAATTCTCTAAGGGAGAAGAAGGGTAACAGTATCAGCTTTAACTTCTAACGGCAGTATTGACCATATAGAACGGTAGATAAAATATTGGAGTTATATGTCAGCCTGTTAATTCTACAAGTGAGAACCTAATGTCTGGTAATGGAGGGAAAAAAATTGGATTTTTTTTTCTTTGGTTGGCCATGGGGCTTGAACTCTGGGCCTGGGCGCTGTCCCTCAGCTCTTCAGTTCAAGGTGAGCGCTCTACCACTTGAGCTACAGCGCCACTTCCGGTTTTCCAGTGGTTTATAGGAGTCTCACGGTCTTTCCTGCCAGGGCTGGCTTTGAACCGAGATCCTCAGATCTCAGCCTCCTGAGTAGCTAGGATGACAGGCGTGAGCCACTAGCACCCAGCTTTGGATTTTTTTTTTTTCTGATTAGAGATTTATATCGCAGGATGAAAGGCAAACCACAAATAACGGGAAAGTGAGCGAAAACTACTCCTCGTGTTTGGCTTTTTAAGAAAAATGTGATTCTCGGTAATATTTACTCATCACTTATTGCTTCTCTTCCTACCTTTTTTTTTTTATTATTATCTTTAGTGGCCACAGATGTCTTTAATTCCAAAAACCTGGCCGTGCAGGCTCAGAAGAAGATCCTGGGTAAAATGGTATCCAAATCGATTGCGACCACCCTGATCGATGACACCAGCAGTGAGGTGCTGGATGAGCTCTACAGGGTGACCAAGGAGTACACCCAGAACAAGAAGGAGGCGGAGAGGGTCATCAAGAACCTCATCAAGACCGTCATCAAGCTGGCCATCCTGTACAGGAACAACCAGTTTAATCAAGACGAGCTGGCGCTGATGGAGAAATTCAAGAAGAAGGTTCATCAGCTGGCCATGACCGTGGTGAGCTTCCACCAGGTAGATTACACCTTCGACCGCCACGTGCTGTCCCGGCTGCTGGACGAATGCCGACAGCTGCTGCACCAGATCATCCAGCGCCACCTCACCACCAAGTCCCACGGACGGGTTAACAACGTGTTCGACCATTTCTCAGATTGCGATTTCCTCGCTGCCTTGTATAACCCCTTCGGGAAGTTTAAACCTCACCTGCAGAAACTCTGCGACGGCATCAACAAAATGTTGGACGAAGAAAACATATGAGCGTGTGGATTCAGACCTGACTGATTTTGTGTCCAGGACGGAGCATGGCTGATCCATGAAGGAAAGAAAAAGACAATTGTTTTTGTTTTTCTTTTTTAAGGTTACAGGTGTTTCCGGAAGACTTGGCCCAATTCAACCGTCGGACATTATGGATGATGCTTTTCTAGCATTTTGTTTTATTGGGAGCAAAGCATGCTGTCAAAAGACTGGTCAGAATTCACCCAGAGGTGGCAGTCACGAGGAAGACAAAGGTAGCTAAGAAATACGAGTCTGAGTGTGAACCCCGAGACTTGCTGAGGGCAGCTCTTGTCCGGGAAGCGCAGCGGATGCTTCTGGAATGTACAGAGTTGTGTACTTGGACCCGCTTACATTCTGTACTGTACATACGTATCTCTTCTAGAAAGTCAACGACTCCCACCCGCTGCCATTGCTCCTTCTGAAACAATTCTGTTTTCAAGTCTACCCTTCATTTTCAGTAAACGCTATGGCAATGAACTAGATCATTCATTACAGATAATGTCCAATGTTAAGAACATACCTCTGAAATGGAGTACTGATTTTTTCTTTAATACCAAATGTGATATTTAGCTTCTCAAAAATGTCATGGTGTGTCATTTCCTTGAAATGCTTTTCCCAGGGCTTAACTTTGAAGTAATCTTGAAAAACATGCTGATGAGATCTCTCTCATTAACATCCATGTCACATGTAAAATGAAAAGAGGAACCCTAGATTGACCTGGATATTGGGACAATAAAGAGTAATGAACTTTATGAAAGATTTTAGAGACAAACACATCAAAATAACGCAGGACACGGTTAAAGAACATAAGATAGCGGATGTACTCCAGTGCTTAGCACAGTTCTATAAATAAAGGATGTCATTTTTTTACTTAACTAATAAGGCTTTGGTGATTTCTTATTTGCTGTTTTTCCTGAATAAGCCAGAGGGTGTTTTTTTTTTTATCTCCAGCAGTTGCTGTATTGTTTCTATATAATTTTAGATGTGCAAATGACACATTTGCTTACATATTTTTAAAATTCGTATTTCCTCCTAGGAAATAACAGGCCCCACCCCCAACATGAGCTGTTTGCCTGTGTGTGCCTATGGTGTGTTCTCTGGCCCTAATTTTGTCCCCCTCCCAGAACACTGATAGTGAAACCACAGGTCACCTGGGAATCCCCCATAAATGAAATGTCCGCCATACCCTGAGTTGCAGGTCACTTTCTCTGGGACCTTCCTGTGCTTGTCTGAGACCATTAGCCAAGACAAAGAGTCCCTCCCTGTTTGCTGTTACGTCCTGACCCTCAGTTTTGAATAGAAAGCCGCCTCACCTTCCCAAGCCGGAAGGCGAGCACTAGGTGTTCTGGGAATGACTGTATGACTCAGAATTTGTGCCTTGGGCTTTATCCCCTGTAAATGGCTCAGCTGCCTTCTTTGCCCAGCCCTTCTCTTGTGTAGAAGAGCCTGATCAGCTCTGCATCGCTGTTGTATTATTACTCTGCTCTTCACCAGACCTTGCCTGGCCGGAAGTATGGATAATGGTGTGCTCATTTCTGGCTATGAGCAGGATCAACTTCACCTAGAAGGCCTAGCTCTAGATCTCTCTGTCCATTTGGATCACGTTCCTGTGCTCAGTGGCTGGCAAGCAACGACATGAGGATGGTGGACGGAACCCTTCACCTCACACAGAGGGAAGCCGAGGAACACAGGTGTTCCTCCATAGCTGCACCAGACGCTGCAGGACAAGAATCCGCAGACTTCTTATGTGCGCACATCCTCCCTTGGCCACACAATGTAAATACTATGTAAATCATTATTATCCTGGGTTGTTTAAGGTATGGCGACCAAAGAAAAACACAAAACACTGCATGCTTACTGCACACTTTTTAGAATAAATTTCAACGCACAGTTGGTTGCATCTGCCGAAGCAGAACTCACAGATGGGGAAGGCCAGCTTGTGTGGAAGGAGGGAGGTCTGTGTTCTAACATGTCTCGGAATCTTCCGGAGGGGCTTCTTTGCACGACTCGGTCTCGTCTGGAGAGCACGGAGGTCATTTCCAAACCCTCCGCTCCCGTTCTTCCCTGGGTTTTGTGTGGCAGGCAGGGAGGTGGGGTGGAGAAGGATTTGAAGGCGTAGCGTAGCTAATTTTGAGCCAAGTTAAAAGCGTGGCTAGGGAACGTGTGTTTTGTTTTTGCGATACAGTCTCTCACAATTCTTGATCCTCCTGCGTTAGACTCTAAAGTCCCGGGGTTGACAGGTATGCCCCAGCACACCTGGCTGAATCTTTTAAGTGATTTAGAGAAATAACTGTGCTGTAATTGACTGTTAATTTTATGCAGATAACTTTTCTGCAAAAAAGTATGAACCCTATGAAATCCTCTTTTTTTGGTAACCACGGTAAACTAGAGAAAAGTGCTGGGTGCTGGTGGCTCACGCCTGTCATCCTAGCTACTCAGGAAACTGAGATGTGAGGATCACGGTTCAAAGCCAGCCCGGGCAGGAAAGTCTGTGAGATTTTTTAGTTTTTTGGTTGTGGGGCCTGAACTCTGGGCCTGGGCGCTGTCCCTGAGCTCTTCAGCTCAAGGCGAGCGCTCTACCACTTGAGCCACAGCACCACTTCTGGCTTTTTCTGCTTATGTGGTGCTGAGGAATCGAACCCAGGGCCTCTGCATGCAAGGCAAGCGCTCGACCACTGAGCCACCTTCCCAGCCCGAGTCTGTGAGATTTTTATCTCTAATTAAGCACCAGAAATTCAGAAGTGGTCCTGTGGCTCAAAGTGGTAGAGAGTGCAAAAGCTCGGGGCCAACGCCCAGGCCCTGAGTCCAACGAAAATAAAGAAAAGAAAAAGCAAAGCGTGAGCTGATATAGCAAGTGGACGGTAGGGTTGATGCTGACCACTGGCCGTTACGAAGTGGAGATTGAGTCAGGGACAGTGAGAGCATGGAGACAGGTGTTTGCTATAGCCCATAGCTCTCGTGTGTCACAGCCACAAACTACTTCCATGTAAGTAAAGTGTAAGTAAAAGCGGCTCTAAAAACATCACCTCCAGAAGGAGCGGGCATTGTGCATTCGAAGTGATCTTTCAAATAGCGACGCTCTACACAGAATTTAGATCATTGTAGGTCTAGCTGTTCTCGGAAGATCTGGGTCTTATTTTACACAAAGGCATTTTTTCCAAGTTTTCAACGTGGCTTCTATTTGAAGGAGCATGGTGGCTCAGATTTCTGTCTCTCGTGGAACTTCAGGGCAAGGTGCTTACAATTACGCTGTCTTTGAACCTGGCCGGGTAACGTACAGAGGCCCCTCCCCCATGGCGGCCGGGTGGCACCGACGCAGAGCTTCGACTTTCATCCCAGCTTTGAAGACGGAGACAATTTCAGCAAAAGAGGTAAAAAAAAAATAGCTTTGTCTTTTCCTGATTATTACACTTGTCATGTATGATTCAACATTGACTTACAGGAAAGCATGTGTTACAAGCTAACGATAGAAATATTACCCTTGCTGTTTTATGTAACAGTACCTCACTCACAATTATCTGGAAAGCTCTTTTTCTCCTACAGTAAAGTACACATTAAAATAAAAACAAGTCAGCACCAGTGGCTCATGCCTGCAATATTACCTACTGGGGAGGCTGAGCCTAGAAGATTGCATTTGGGAGCTATTCTAGTCAGAAAGTTCAAGAGATGCCATCTCCAAAGTAGTCAGCAAAAAGCTAGGCTTGGAGACACAACCCAAATGGTAGAGTGCCCGTTGTGAGCAAGCAAGCCTAGCTAGAGCATGAAGCCCTGAGTTCAAACCCCAGTGCCAGCAGAAATAGACTGAAAAATTAGAAAGCCACCTAATCAACTTTCTGATGTATTTCTGACCCCACCAAAGGTGTGGTCCCTATCTATCAAGTCAGCTTCATTTTTTTCTGGGAATTTTAATGTATCCTTGAGATACATGCTAAGTTGTCATTTTGCATTACAGTCCTCAGGCTGGGTATATGGCTTATGGGTAGAGTGCTTGCCTAGCATGCATGAAGCCCTGGGTTTGATTCCTCAGTACCACATACACAGAAAACACCGGAAGTGGCGCTGTGGCTCAAGTGGTAGAGCAAAAGAAGATCAGTGACAATGCCCAGGCTCTGAGTTCAAGGCCCAGGTCTGGCAAAACACAAACAAAAAAAGCACATTACAGTCCTGATAGACAGTACATAAAAGATGGCTGAGTTTACCCACAGGCTGAAAGCGTACCATAAAAAAAAGGTAACTGCTACTTGACTGGAGGAAATTAAGACATACTAATGAAGTAAGCTGAACTTACTTGTTAGTAGGAATTATAATACTTAATATTTGTCCAATCTTGCATTTCCACATTTACAGCATCTCAATTAACCAGATTTTGCAGTGTTTTACTCCACTTGGTATTCTATTTCTGGACATGAGTCTTCTCATCGGTTAAACTCATGGCAGGTTTTAGAACCCAGAGCTGGTTATGACATACTTATCCTATCTCTGAAGTAATCTGTTGTTCAGGTAAAAACAGTGGAAACCTCCTAGTTAAAATACTGAGATAATAAACACAAAAAATGAGTCAAAGTTTTTGTTTTCAAGGAGATACAATGGGAAAATCCAAAGATGATAGATAGATAGATAGATAGATAGATAGATAGATAGATAGATGATAGAGATAGATGATAGATAGATAGATAGATAGATAGATAGATAGATGATAGATAGATAGATGATAGAGATAGATAGAGATAGATGATAGATGATAGATAGATAGATAGATAGAGATAGATAGATAGAGATAGATAGATGATAGATAGATAGATAGATAGATAGATAGATAGATAGAGGTAGATAGAGATAGATGATAGATAGATAGATAGATGGATAGACAGATAGATAGGTGGATAGATAGATAGAGATAGGTATGTATGTATGTATCAGCTCCGGGCTGTGTTTCAGTCCACGGAAGTGGTGTCTGCTCAGGCTCTTGGAGTTGACTCTTAAGGAGAGGATGTGTGATTTTTTGAAAGCGCGTGTTTTGATTGGTAAGATGGTCTAGGAGAATGCCCTTCTCTGTACTTTGCCATTTCCACTTAAAAGCTTACAGATGGACTGAAGCGGTTGTTTAAACACAGGCAAGAAGGGCTGGGTGTGGCTCTGAGTCCTACCCACTGTGAGGTCCGGAATTCAAACCCAGGATTGCCAAAATAAGCAAACCAAAACAACAACAACAACAACAAACCCACACCAACCATGTCAGCAGAAACTTGACTGTGGCCTTTCTGTGGGAGGAGGGACGTTTTCCTGAGAAGCACTGTTTTCCTGGAGCCACACCTACCGCGTCGGAGTCTCTGGTCATCCACCCCTCGTTCCTGGCTCTCTTCTAGGACCCTCGCTTTCCGCAGGCTACATGGGTGCTACGCACACGATGAACATTTAGAAGAGGAGGCCTTGCTGGTGGTGACGCTACCTTCTCCAGTCACAGGGACTTTTCCTCCCGGTGACTGTGCTTGCTACACTGTTCACTGAAGAGCTGGCCGTGAGCCCCACAGGTAGAGACGACCCTTGGTGTGTCAAACACCTGTGCCGGGAGCCTGGCGTCCCTCCCTTCCTCCCTCCGGGTAGCCAGGCAGTGGGGTGCTGAGGACTCGCTCCTGGGCCCTGAGGTGCTCATGGAGGACCGGCTCTGCAGCCGCCAGAACCCTCCTGCCTGCCTAGAGGACTTTCTCATTCTGTCTCTAAAACGAGCAACTTCGTCTTCTCGTTTTAAGGGAACGTTGGCAATGGTAGTCTGGCCCGGGTTTGGGGATTGTCCTAGCTCGTAATGTAGAATCTTACTATTATTCATGAAGCCTGAAGCTCAGGTAAGAATACACATAATTGAGTCTAAAGACTT